CGCTTTCTACTTTCATTTAGTGCAAAGCAACTCATCATACATCAGTAATCATTCCAAACTATCGTATTTTTACCTTCATAAATATCGAAGCTTTCACATCATCACAACATAAATAATAATTTATTAAAAGAATACTAATGGTCACCACAATACGAATATCCATAATATGGCTTTTGGTCATTGGGTTATGTCTGGTTGTGTTTGCGCGATTGAGTAAGGGTTATGATGATTTTGAATTAGAAAAAGATGAGCAGAGCTCGTCCTTGGTGCGCCGTGGTCGTGGTGACTCGCCGACCGATAATATAACTGACAACACTGTAGATAAGGTTAAAGATAAATCAACCCATTTAGGTACACCTGTATTTGACAGCTCTAAATCCAGTACCAACGATGCATCTATAGTTGACGACCCTAAGCCTCGTCCTGCGAAAAAACCTATAGTTGACGACAGTCCCATAGATAAAGTTAAAGGTGGACATAACCCTAAGCCCAATCCCGTAGATACGAATATAGTGGACAATAAACCTGGCCATAAATCCCCTAAACCCAATCCCGTAGATACGAATATAGTGGACAATAAACCTGACCATAAATCCCCTAAACCCAATCCCGTAGATACGAATATAGTTGACAATAAACCTAACCATAAACCCCCCAAACCAAGTTCCGTAGATACGAATATAGTTGACAATAAACTTGACTCTAAACCCTCTAAATCTAAAAACAAGCCTAACCCTACGTCCGACTCTGAGCCCAATTCCGTAGATACAGATACAGCTAAAGACAAGTCCAAATTTAAGTCTAGTAAATCTGACCATGAGCCCAGTTCAGATACAGCTAAAGATAAATCTGATCCTAAGCCTGACCCTAAACCTAATCCCGTGGAAACAGATACAACTAAACTTAAGCTTAACCATAAGCACGACCCTGAGCCCACCGTAGATGCAGCAGACAAAACTAACAATAAGTCTAAGTCTGACCCTAAACCCAGTCTCGTGGATACAATTAAACCTAAGCTTAACCATAAGCTCGACCCTGAGCCCACTCCCGTAGATGTAGCAGATACAACTAACGATAAGTCTGATCCTAAGTCTGACCCTAAACCCAGTCCCGTGGATACAGGTACAACTAAACCTAAGCTTAACCATAAGCTCGACCCTGAGCCCAGTTCCGTGGATGTAGCAGATACAACTAAAGATAAGTCTGATCCCAAGTCCA